TATGAAATTAGATAACTAAAGGAAAAGAACCGGTTACGAAAAAGCTCTCCCGCAGGTGATTTTTTCATTACCTCCTACATGTATTTTGAGACGAATCATGGAATGTTTAGTTGCATTGCATTTTTAATAAGCCTAAGTTTGTAAAGGTTGAGATTAGGTAGTCTAAATCTGTGTAATATGTATTTGGATTGTACAAAAAGAGATAGAATAGGTTATTGAAACTTGAGTTTGTGTTATCTATGTTTGGTTCGTGGGTTCATGATACCTAAAATTTAGTAGGTAGTATAAAATGTGAGTTCTCATTTCCATACATTTTCCAAGTTAATTGTTTACCTATAAACATCAGTATATTTTAAAATTAATATATTAGAAAAATAAAATGAAAATACAACAATAAAAAGTACTTTTGCAAATAGGCTTGAAATTGAGACATAGAAAAAGATTTTAAAATTCAGTTTGCAACCCAATTTTTACAAACAAATTCTAGTTCACTGAAAATGGGGACAGCGACAAATTTGTGCTTCATGAGGAAGTTTAGTCGAACTTGGTTGTTTGTACATTCAAATGATGTGATAAAATTGAACTTTTATTTTCATATAGGTTCTTGGATACACTGGAAATGAGGACAGCAAGAAATTTGTGCTTGCTAAGGAAGTTACTTTGGATAATATTAAGGTTCGGCGATTCATCTTCCTTCCCATCCCTGTAGAGAGTACTTTGTTTATTTTGTTTAATGTTTTCTCATCTAAGTTATTTCTTAAGTATTAATGTTTTCTCATCTAATTCGCTCGGATAGGCTTTCGGAGAAAATTTCTTGGAAGACAAGTTAAAACCCTTTTATAAGTCAGATCCCATTCCTGAGACTGTAAGTTGAATGAACTCACTCTCCCTGCTAACTCAACTTTACTTCACATTTGATCTTTAGAATGTGGTTTTGCCTTACTCATGCAGAATGATGGTGACGTGAAAGTAGTGGTTGGAGACAACTTCGACAATATTGTTTTAGATGAATCGAAGGATGTTCTCCTCGAGGTATCGAGTAATCCAACAAGCATTTATATGTTCACTTCATTGCCCCCTCATGTAGTGCCTTATATACTGATTTAGGTTTCATTTCCAGATCTATGCTCCTTGGTGTGGGCATTGCCAAGCACTGGAACCAACTTATAACAAGCTTGCCAAACATTTACGTGGCATCGATTCACTTGTCATTGCTAAGATGGATGGCACAACAAATGAACATCCCCGGGCGAAGGTATCGTGATTTTGTTTCCCTTCATTGTTTATCATTGTTGCTCTTACCCGTTGGAACAATACAAGCTAGTTTCTTAGTGCTTATCGCTTTTTGTGGTTTTGCCAAATTTACTCGCCTTTGTTTGGCTATAGTTCTGTGTTTTTTGTTTATCCATATTCTGGAATCTTGATGGAACATACAATCTTTTGAACTTGTGATGATGCTCAATTGAAACTTAGAGAATGGCTCTTCGTTTTCTTTTTCCCTTTACAGTCCGATGGATTCCCAACAATTCTGTTTTTCCCAGCTGGAAACAAGAGCTTTGACCCTGTAAGTAAACATTATAATCTTCTGGTTTCGCTGATATCTTTTTTCTTGCGTCTTGCCCGCTTGCTCCCAAGAAGTGATCGTATCCATTTTCGGCTGCTTGCTTTGGTTTTTAGATCACTGTCGATACCGATCGTACCGTTGTGGCACTGTACAAATTCATCAAGAAAAATGCATCCATCCCTTTCAAGCTACAGAAGCCAGTTTCGAGTCCGAAAGCCGTAAGTTCTGAAGCCAAATCTGGTGATGCCAAAGAGAGCCCAAAGAGCAGCACCACTGACGTAAAGGATGAATTGTGAAGACTTCTTAAATAGTTTTGTAAGTTATTATCCCATCTTTTATGCACTTTTTGCAGCTGCCAGATTTTTAGACCATATGGAGAGACTAGAAATTAAAAGAAAATGTTTTTTTCCCTTTTTCTTTAGGAAAAAAAAAAGAAAAAAAAACTTAACTCAATTTCCACTTTCCAATAAGAAAAAGAAGGAAAAAAAGGGCCTATTAAGTTTTGTAGTGTATGTCCATGGGGAAAAAAGTAAAGCAAAAAAAGTGGATCTGCCTTTGAAAAACTGATGAAATAGATAGCTATTTGTTTTGTTACTTCTTTATGTGCTTATTTAATACTTTTAAGTTACAAAATTAGCTTTGGTTGTGTTTATTTTGGTGAATTATAGTTTTATTTAATTGCTCTAGCTTTTTTTTTTTTTAAGCTCTAGTTAAATTGTTAACTAAATTTAGATGAGTCATGCCATTATCTAATTATTAGTAATAATAATAGTGACTAAAAAATTATACTTTAAAGTTTATAGATGTGATTACATTATTTATTTATTTATAAGGATTAAATAAGATATCACCACACATCTATGAAATAAATTTGTAGTGGATGGTGACGAACCAAAAAAATATATATAATAATAATAATTATATGTTCAAAATTAAAAATTATACTCCATTATTTTATTGTAGTTATATAATTCTAGAAGTTTAAGCAGTAGAGTAAATTTAAGCACAATCCAGGGAGGAATTCCTCTGAAATTTCTAAAAAATTGATAGAAATTTTACATTTTTGTGGTATATATATACTAAAATATATATTTAGCGTATAGTAATTTTTTTTTGAAATATTGTGGTATACTCAATTAAGAATTAGAAACAAAATAATATATAGTAAATAATATTGTTTTCTTTAGTCCACAGCCTACACCCACTTTCTTAAATTTCTTTTTTGGATTTTTTTAGTATTTGGTAAATTTCAAATTTTTATTTAATCAATATTTCTTTTTTTTTTCACTCTGATCGATGTGGAAAAAAATTGGATATCAGAAATAACTATGGTTCTCTCTCGTGCATCATTTTGGATGATTACTCTTTTCATAAAAAGAAAATATTTCAATCTCATAAAAATAAATATTTTCCTCACGAATTAAGAGAAATGTTATACAATATCATGTCAAATTATTTTGGAGGAAAAAAATTTCTCCTCGAATCTCATAACTCATATACATGATATAAGAGTTGGTTAATATTTTTTCCTCTCTTGAGTTTTTATTATTTATTATTTATATTTTTCAATAGTATTGTATTACAAATTTAGAGAAAAGATTTGAATGTATGATCATGAAAAGAGATATTAATGCTTCATCAATTAAACTATATTGAAAGTTAATACCTCTTCAATGTTTTCAACTAAATATTCACGAAAATATGTTAGCTACAATATTTGTATTGGAAAATGACGAACATTCATAAGTTATGACACTTGAGCTTAACTCTTGTGTGTATAGGGATTTAACTGAAGAAAGTTTAATATATAAGGGATAGAATTGAAACTCTAAAAAAATGAGTAACCAAAAATTAAGGGGGAAAAAAAGCACACCCAAATATTAAGTTGTCATTTTTTTCCTTTGGACGTGCTAGATCATTGCACAGTGTGGTTCTAGAGCTTCCAATCAAAGTGCTTTTTATAATAATTTAAAGAAAAGGCTTTTATAATATGTAGATATTTGAGTAATAGAAAATCCCCCTGTTGAGGAAAAAATCTTATAGTTTTATTAGCCAATAATATAATTCACTAAAACAATTAGTTGGATCGTAATGACAATTGAATTGATTATATACCTCCAACACTGTTAAATTTTTCCGGCACAAAATTTCAAATAAGTTTCAGAAATATTTATCGACATCGACATTTTATATTTTTTTATAGACACTTCTATAATATTGAGGTGTACCGGCCTAGGCCTAAGATTCGGAACAGGATTTGAAATCTGAATTCGCATCTAATTGCTCCAACATTTTCCTGCATCTCGTGAGCTAATTAGAAGAACACTGTGTTTACAAACCTTAACTCCAACGCTTAACTTTGAAGTTAGTTATTGAGTCATCAAAAATGAATGTTTACTTTGTTAGTATAAGTAATAACTATTAATTATGACTTGAAACGAGACAAGAGCATGAGATCATCGACTGGGGGAGACCGGCACACGACGTAACGGGCCGGCCTAAAGGACGACCTAGCTGACGGCCTCGGCGCCGACCCCACCTCAGCACCGAGACCTCCTCGGCGCCAAGGTGCCTACTTCTCAACAATCGCCTTCGGGCCAAGATACCATGTGGGCCTCCTTTGCTCGGATCTACATCAAGAGATTAAACACACCTATTCGGGGCCGAGGCCGATCATTGAGCCTCGCAAATCTGAATTAGGGCTCAACTACAAGAAGGTTCTGGAACCACCCTCACAACTATAAATAACCCTAGGGAGGCAAGTGATATATCCCTAGCTCACTATTTTCTCAACTCTCCCTCGCTAATTTAGGTGTCGGAGCCCGTGTGACTGAGGTCACACCAGTTTAGATCGGTTTGGTTTTGCAGGTATCGGTTCCCTTATCATCGAGTTAGGTGTGTGTGAGAAGAAGAACCGGAGGGTCAAAATCCACGCATCAACAATTGGCGTCGTTTGTGGGAACGATACATCAAAGCAAGTTTCGTCGGTCCGAGGTGAAATCCCGATCCGAGGCGTGTGGAGTGAAGCGGCCGATCACTCGGGAGAAGCAAGACCGAGCCATGATCATCGACTATCTAATCCGGAAGGCGACATGAATCCTGGTGAGAGCCATCAGAGTTTCGAAAAGAAGAGCCTGAATGAAGCGGCAGATCACTCGGG